CTGCAGAATTCCCCAAACAGTGTCTCTTTTTTCACTTTTTCTTTTTGAGAAATTTCTCCTACTCAAGCCTGATGCTCTGTACAGCAGCCTCTCTCACAGCCCAATTCTCCAGCCACACCAGGGACTATCGAGGTCAGGGCTTGTCATGGCACAACTCTCAACTCGCCCCAGCTGGCACCCACAGACTCTGTGGGTGCTCACAGCCCCTGTGTGTTTGCCACTTAGTCCTTATTCCCCTCTCTGCAACTTCAAACAACCAGGTTTCTCCCAATATTGCTCAACCCTTGTTTAGCTGGGGAGGGAGCAGTTGATCCAGCTCTCTCCCAGGAAGAAAAAAGCAGAAGAAGCAGTGCTACCACAGGTGGCAGACCCTGTGGGTGCTGGGCCTGGGGCTACAGCTGCCCTGGTCCCCGAGCTGGTCCCTGGGACCTTATTGTCCTGAAACACTCTCCTTACTGTCTGTTTTTTCAGTGTCCCCTACAATTTTTGGTCTCTTATTTTCATATATGCTGGAGTACTGTTGGCTGTTTGCTTTGTTCCTCCATAGATTGGCTAGGTTTTTCTCCTGTGTATAGGGGAAGTGGAATCTGCTCCCTCCTACCTCACCGCCATCTTCCTCTCTCTGTTAATTTATTTTTTTAATTTTCACCCAAAGGTTCATTTGGCTTCAAGGTCCAAGAAGTTAGCTTGGTCTGGGAGTCCCATTGTTATAGTATTCCAGTCAATTTTCCAAGAGAGGCCATTTTGTTAAGAATAACACTAATTCTAACAGTCAACAGAATTCATGAGAAAATATTTTATTCCACCCACAGTTTTAAAAAGCAGGCCTATTTCTTTTTTGTATTTATTTAGTTATTTAAAAAATTGACACTTATTTTGGTAAAAATAAACAATATGCCAATATTGCTACCTTGAGTAGGCTATAGGATACATTCCCTACCTGAACTGCTTGGCAATGGCTAAGGTGCCTGCCCTTCAGTTGATGAACCATCACTCCAATTGCAGACTCAGTTATTCTGAGGTAAAGCAGAGTCTGCTACTGACCTAGAAAGTATTTATCTCCAAAGCAGTAGTTTTAATTGGTTTTTTAAAATATAGTTTTATTGAGCTATTGTTCACATACAACAGAATTCATGTATTTTACTATACAGTGCAATGGTTTTGATTACATTCACAGTTGTGTAACCATCACAAGAAACAATTTTAAAACACTGTTACTCACCTAGGACAATATACCCCTCAGCTGGTACCTCAGTTTCCGATCCCCCAAGCCTCCTTCTCCTGGGCAACCACTAACCTACGTTCAGTCTCTATACACTCCCTGATCTGGACATTTCATATAAAAGGAGTTACACAATACATGGTCCTTTGCTCCCTTAGCATAATTTGTTCAAGGATCATTTGTGTAATAGAATGTAGCACTACTTTATTCCTTTTAATTGCTGAATAACATTCTATTGTAAAGAAATACCACATTTCATTTATCATTCATCAGTTGATGAGCAATGAATTATTTCTAAATGGCTGTTATAAATAATGCTGGTATGAACATTCATGTACACATTTTTGTGGCCATATACTCTCTTTTCTCTTGGGTATATACAAAGGAGTGAACTTACTGGGTCATATGGTAACTCTGTTTAATCATCTTCCAAAGCAGCTACATCATTTCACATTCCCACCAGCAATGTGTGAGGGTTCTAATTTCTCCACATTCTCACCAACACTTGTTATTATCTGCATTTTTTAGTATAGTTATCCTACTGGGTGTGAAGTGGTATTTTTAGTGTGGTTTTATTTAAATTTCCCTGATGATTATTGTTGCTGACCATTTCTTCTTATACTTATCAGCCATTTGTATACCCTCTTTGGAGAACTCTCTATTCAGATCCTTTGTCCACTTTTGAACTGGGTTACTTGTCCTTTTTTTTATTGTAAAAGTTCTTTATATTTTCTAGATACAAGCCCCTTATCAGATATACGATTAGCAAATATTTTCTTTTATTCTGTGATCATCTTTTCACTTTATTAATGACACTCTTGAATCATCAAAGTTTTTTATTTTGATGATGTCTAGTTTATTTTTTCTTATGTTTTTTGTGTTTTTAGTGTCAGATTTAAGAAACTATTGCCTATTCCAGTGTCACAAATATTTATGCCTATGTTTTCTTCTTAGAGTTTTACAGCTTTAGCTTTTATATTTAAGTCCTTCATCCATTTTGATTCAACTATTTTTTAATGTGATGTGAGGCAGGGGTCCCACTTCAGTCTTTTGCATGAAGATATCCAGTTGTCCAAATCCCATTTGTTGAAGAAAATATCCCTGTCCCATTTGAATAGTCTTGGCACCCTGGTTGAAGATTAATTGATCATAAATGTGAGAGTTTATTTCTGGATTCTCAAATGTTATTGCACTGATCTATACAGCTGTGCTTAAGCCAGTACTACTCTGCCTCACATATTATAGCTTTGTAGTAAGTTTTGAATTCAAGAAGTGCAAGTCCTTCAATGTTCTCCTTTTCCAATATTATTTTGACTATTCTGCATCCCTTGAAGTTCCATGCGCATTTTAGGATGTGCTTGTCAATTTCTGCAAAGAAGTCAGCTGGGATTTTGACAGGAATTGTACTGAATCTATGATCATTCTGGGAAGTAATGCCATCTTAACACTATTTAAGTCTTCCAATATATGAACATAACAATTTATTTATGTATTTATTAATTTCTATCAATAATACTTTATAGTTTTAAAGAAGTGATCCTTAACTCTGGCTGTTAATTAAAATTATCTGGGAAACATTTTAAAATACCAATGCTTCAGATTTGAATCAGAATCTCTGGAAAAGAGACCTAACCACTAGTATTTTAAGACTCTTCACCAAGTGTAGGTTTGAGAACTAGAATAATGGACATTAAAGTTGCCAAGTTTCAAAAAAAATCTTTTAGAAATACCATACTGTGTCTGTGGACAAACTGATGAAGTTGAGCTATTAGAAGTGGCTTATAGTGTACATCATAGAGAACATCTCAGGGTCAGTGACAACATGGTATTTGGGGATTTTATATTCACCAGCTATGAAGGAGGAAAGGATAATTTAGAACACTGGTTGGGAGAATAAAATGAAAAAGAGAGAGGTGGGAAACAAAGCAGAGGAACTATGTGCAGGAGCTGAAGCTGACTACAGAGGTGGATAAGGTGATGGTCAGCAAGATCTGCCCTGGTAACCAAACAGTCTTGGTACCATCGTAGGAAGGAGAAGGCAGGAGCATCAGGATAGAAGAAGGTTTGCTTTTAGGTTTCATGAATGTGAACCAAAAGGTGAGTTACCAACATACATATGTTTGACAAGTACTTAGGGATACAGAACTAATACTTAATAAAGGATATGACTGAGAGAAAAAAAAAAGAGAGGTCAGGAAGGGCCCCAGGCACGTAATGGCTAAAATCATAGGAATGGCAGAGATCTTGTAGAAGCAAGTCTAGGAAGTAAAGGTCAGAGAACTTAGAACTAAATCATATTTAATTGGTGGAGGGTGGAACTGAGTACAGTGAGAGAATCAGATAGTAGTGCAGATATAAGATTCTGGATGGCAATTTGGTTATACATCAAAAGCTTTCCAAATGCATGTACTCTTGACACATCAATTACATTTTTGAAGTGTATTCTAAGGAAATAATCAGAAATACATACACATTGATAATACTTTTGAACACTGCAATGTTATTAAATATTAAAAAAAATGAAAACAAAAAGAAGACAGGGAAACCACCTAAGTATTTGAAAAGAGAGGACTGATTGTTTTTTTTTAAATGATAGTGGACCACTGTGTAACCATTAAAATAATGTCTTAAAACATATATAATGGTATGGGGAAGTAACCCCCAATATAATATTTAGATGAATAAAGCACTATTGGGGCTTAGAGTGGGGTGAATAGATAGAGTAAGAGAATTCTTGCTTAGGGCAGTGAAAATACTCTGTATGATTCTGTAGTGGTGTATACATAACATTGTACATTTGTCCAGACTCACAGGATCTACAGCACCAACAGTGAATCCTAAGAATAAACTATGGACTTCTGGCCATTATGATGTGTCAGTGTAGGTTCACCCATTGTTACAAATGTACCATTCTGGTGGATAATAGAGGGTGCTATGCATGTGTAGCTACAGGGGGTGTATGTGCCTTCCTCTCAATTCTGCTGTGAACCTAAAACTGCTCTAAAAAAAGAAAGTTTTTTTAATTTTAATTATTGTTCAAGTACAGTTTTCTGTCTTTTACTCCCATCCCAGCCCACCCCCCAGCCCTTCCCACCTCCCTCCCATTTCCACCCCATCCTAGTTTTTGTCCATGTGTCCCTTATACTTGTTCCTGTAAACCCTTCCCTGTTTCCCCTGAAATTCCCTCCCCTCTCCCCCCTGGCCACTGTCAGACTGTTCTCTATTTCAGTGTCTTTGGTTACATTTAGCTTGTTCGTTTGTTTTGTTGTTTAGGTTTTTGTTAAAGGTGAGATCATATGGTATTTGTTGTCTTTTGCCACCTGGCTTATTATTTCACTTAGCAAAGAACACTGTCTTCCCACATGTATATACAGGAATAATCAGCATTGAGCATTTATCCAACAAAAAAGTCCTAATCCAATTCAGATACACTGCATAATTCTAATCTTGAGGACATGTCTGTATGTCTTTAAGTTGGGTGCTACCTATCTAAGTATGGTTAATAAAAAAGACTTAAATACTCCAAAGTTAATAGTGATTTCTGTGTAAGCGAAATTCAAATGATTTGGACCTTTCCTTATTCTTTTCTGTATTTTTCAAATTCTCTAAATGAACATCTATTGATTTTATCACCAAAAAAGTTAGCATTTCTAAATACTATAAAAACTCGATACTGTAACTTATTTGTAAGTGGCTTTCTGTAACATCGTTTCATTTCTGTACATTAAATGCCTATTTGCCACTAAGTTTCTTGTGGAAGTGTTGTCCCCATATTTACCGTCAGCAGTTCTCTTTCCACTTCGTCATGAACTAGGTCAATGCCCATCCTCTTCTCTCGATGAAATAGACATTCTCGAGCTACCTACAGACACACAAATTATGGAAATCACTAATGCAAACTGACTAAAGTCAATGACCAGAATTACCTGTTTCTAAAACAAGTCAACCAACTTTTCATGCCATTTTCTTGGAAATATAGACTGAAACCAACTGTGACAACTCTGTCAATCCCTGCTTGTAGTTAAAAGGTAAAGAGTTAGTTCTTTAAAGTATTATGAAAGCATTCCTAATTTGAAAAGCTGGAAAAATGCAGCAGATGGCATCTACTTAATCTCCACAAATTAGCATCTGAGAAAATTATTTGGCATTCATTTCTGCCACAAAAATACTTCAATAATCTGAAATATAGTCTTCAGAATATTATTTCTAAATATTTTCTACAGAGAAGGGTAAAGATAAAACTGATTATCTTTAAAGACATTAAAATATTTGTGTAGCCAAAATCAAAATGATGATTTTTGAAGTACCGATTATAAAAATAAATTGCTTTATCCATTAAAGAGAAAAAATACAGAAAAATAAAAGATGATTTAGCCATAGTCCTATTGCTGTTTTGTTTGTTTTAACAAAGCAGAGATTATATTGTCCTTATAATTTTACACACTCTTTAAGGTTAATATTAGATAATAGGCACTATTTATGAAATATTCTTTGAGACAAAGGGTACTAATGACTCCAGGGGAAAACAGCTGAGATTTCTGACAATAAATTAAGCATGAAAGAACATTATATAATTTTTAAAATCCCATTTCAAATACTATTTCATGATGGAATGATTGAATAATGCTAAATTTAAAAAATTGAAATATAATAGTATGCACTTTGTAATTCAGATATATCATTGAACAAAATCTTTAAGTAAATCTTTAATTTTTTATTTATATTTACTAGAAGGTGGTTAATGGGTTGGAAGGAACTCCAATTATATTAAAGTGTATTATTTATTCACTCTCCAGGAAGTTTCTGCATATCCATAGTCCTACCAGCAGTATATGAAAGTGTCCATTTTCTGCATTTTTGCCAGTCCTGCATGTTATCAATTTTTAATCTTGTTAATTTGATAGGCCAAAGATGGCTGCTTCATTGATTTTGCAGTTTTACTGAGTTTTAACATTTTTATATATGAGTCAATCATCTATTTTTTCTTTTTTGAGAGGTATCTATTTATGTGACTAACTTTAGTTTAAATCAGGACCTTCTGATACTATGTTGATAGTTAATGTTCAAACACTCAAGAACATCTGGACAAAAATTACAGAAAAATATTCAAATTAGTACCATCTCACTGAAAGCAGGCATCACTGAAAGGACTGTTTTTCCAGATAATTTATAGTAAGGGGGGCCTTCAGTGGGGTGGGATATAGAACAGGCAAAAAATTCTCAAAATGAGCAGAGCACAGAGAATGGGTGCAAAGGCTTCTAATCCTGAAAATCAATTTCTGATGAGTTAGTGAATTTAAAATGACATCATTAGTGTCTATCAACCACTCTTAAAATGCCTGGTGGTTATATTTGTGTGTGGTTGTTTTTAGTGAGGCAGAGGCATGAAAAGAAGTAACAGTGTGCAGGGGTCTCCAACAAACTCTTCAATCCACAGGACTCCTGCTCCTTGATCACTACAGATGTAATGATAAATTCCTATAGCAAATGCTTTTCACATGGGAAATAAGTCATACAAACATGAAGAAAATGGTATGAACTTTGCTCACACACACACACACACACACACACACACACAATGTCTTCTTTCCATGGTGGTGGGCAGAATGAGGTTGGAGGGTCCCTCACACACTCAGAGCTTGGTCAGAAGCCAGCAGTCAACCCACAATGTGGCCTCCATGATCACACTGGTGTCACCTCAGTCCCATTTCTCTGTCCCATCAAACCCATCCCACCTCCTAAGAAGGTCTCATTTGATCATTTCGATGGGCCCTGAAATGGAATCATAACATATGCCCAGGAGGCATTTCACAACACAGACTAAACAAATAATTGGTTTTGTGGGTTTTATTTTTCAACTATTGTTTATACTAATCCAGGGACAGCAATAACCAAGAAGCCTATTTAAGAGATTTTCAGCTTCCCATTTTTTAAATGTATTGTGTCCTAAGGTGTCTCTTTAATTAGTCTCCTTTGCATTCAGAATCTTTCTACTTAAATGGTTGTTCTGGACAATGTATAAAAATGATAATCATCTTACCATTCTTGCTACCAGGTACAGGTGAAATAAAACATAATTCAACCAGCAAATAAGCTCAGAAATTCAATCAGTGAATTATAACCATAAAATGCAGTCATTAACTTAAGGTCTTATATTTACCTGAAGAGGGGCTTCTGTCTCCATCAAAGCCCTCTCCAATTTCTTCTTAACATCAGTTAGTTCATTTGTCTCTCCAATCATTGCATCCAACTCATGAATGATTTCAGATTTCCAAAATCCTATGTCATTGACTCGTTCTCCCAAATTTTGAGTGGAGTCTGCCTGGGTTTTTCTTGTTTGTTGGTATTTATCTTGAATCAGGCGAGAGGTATCTACCCTTAGTCTTTCTGAATTATGTCGGGAAGTGTTTGATTCCTGGTAGTTAGTTAAATTGGACCTGTACCAATCATCAGGGGTATACCTTGTGAAGAGAGTTGTTCTGTTGGAAACAAAGGGGAGCATGGTGCTCTCGGACACCTTCTGAGAATTGGTGCAGTAGGGGCCCAAGCTCGGCAAGTTGGAGGCTGTTTTGTAGTATGTGCTTGGTCTCCAAGGAAGGCTCAAGCTGTGGGTCAAATTGTAGTGAGGGAAGTGGTCCCTATAGCTTGATGTCATGGTACTGATGGCTGGTAAAAAGTTGGTTGGTGTTGGTCTAGGGTGGGCATAAGTCGCTGTTAAAGTAGAACCCACAGACTCCATGATGCTCAAGCACTGCTTTTAAATCTCTCCTGTTTAAAAGGGAAAGAAGGTAAAAATAGTCACATAACAATCTTTAGTGAAAATTTAAAATCAAAGGTCACATGACTTACTACTAGTACCAGTGCTCCCTAACACATATATTCCAAATTTTTTTCATATCTGTGTCTCCTGATGTATTAAAAATCACATTTTTAGATTGGCTATTTGGAAATTTAAAATATTTTTAATTTACAAGAAGTAATAATATCTGACTACAAATTTAAATTAAGAACCTGAACTATGCATTTTAACATATAGGGGTTCAAATCTTGGCTCTGGTATTTACTAGCTATGTGACACTGTACAAATTACTTAATCTCTCTGTGCCTCAGTTTCCTTATCTCTGAATTGGGAATAATAGTACTTACTTCTTTGAATTGTTATGAGCAGTATTAGCATCAAGGAGTCGCTTGGCAACTCCCCCCTTAATCAAGTCTTCCTAAATAAACACACAATCTGAGTTAAAATGGTATGGTCGGTAGGCAAACAGTGCTCAAGGCAAGTACCTGGCTCTCCTGCCAGACAACTTGCCACCTGTAAGCACTTCCAATATAAACATTCTAGGGCAGCCTCAGAGGTATAAGGATTGAGTAAGACAAGTTTAAGTATGTGGAATGCTTAGCACAGTTCTGGACATATTGTAAATGCTCAATAGTTGTCAGCTTTTAATTACTAATACAGAGGAGTATATAAAGTAAAAGATAAATATCCATTTCCCTCCAAAAACTGAACTCTGAAGTAGGCACTGAACAATTCATTAATAGTTGTTTCTCTCCAGATGTTTCCTATTCATGACAACATACTTATTATTTTAAACCCTACATAAATATAACATGTCTACATATGCAGAGATTTTTAATACAAAAAATAAATTATCTTAACCATTATAAGTATTACTCTAAAACATGCATTTTAAAAATACATATGTTAGAACATACATATCCACTTCATCCTTTTTTCACCAGTTGAAAGTATTTTATTGTCTGAAAATCTGGGTCATAATTAGTCCAGAAAGGCAGGTTGCCATACACTGTGGCATACTTTTCAGCATCTAAACATCATTCTGTTAAGGAATTAATGTCTATATACCCACTTACTGAAAAAGAAAAACAAAATTATATACAATTCCATAGCCTATGCAGAATAAAAATCATTCAATTATTTAAATAGCTATGTATTGAAGCCTTTGGTATCCAAAGCACAAAATAATCTATTCATAAAATTGTGGTCCAACAAAACACCTTTGGACCACATGTGATAAAATGGCTGCCACTGCCAGTGGGGTGTCCCACATGGCCTGAGCTCCCTGATTTTTCTGTTCTTCCTTCCCTTCACCCACAAGCACCCATCCAGGCCATGCTTAGAATGTGATGGTGAACAAGAAGCCTTATTACCCACTCACCCTTCTTCACTTGAGTTTGAAACTTAAACACTGCCTTTTGAAAAGTCAAATTCAAAGTAATTTGAGACCTTAGAGTCTTCATAGTAAACCTTAGGCTACTCTTAGTTCCAACCCCTTCCCCAAGAAATAATCCAGTCAATTTTCTTTCAGCAAGAAGCTTCACATGGTGTTGGACCACTCTTACTTGGCTCTTCTTAATTGTTGACAGTAAAGGACCTAAAAGCTAATGTCTCATTTTGATCCTTCAACCAAGGATTTCTAAGTGTAGAATTACCACATGTTTACCCAACCCCCATTATGTTGAAATCTTGAGGAACCTCTGTTTCTCAAATACTGAACTGTGGTCACCTACTCCACAGGGTGACCCGTGTTGACACAAAGGTTCAGAACCCATAGGAGACATATGAATTGAGAAAATCAACATAGTTTACAAAAGTATCAGTGATATTTCTTTTAATTAGAGATGGGATACAATTCAGACTCCAGACTCTGAAGCATAAAGCTCAGTTGTTTAAAGGTCGCAGGTGTAGAGCTCCTTATGCAGGGCAGTAAGTTTCACACGAGAGAAAATGTTCCACAGCCACACGAAAGTTGTAGGTTCAGTCAGCCTTCTCATGTGTCATTCAGGAAGACTGAATAAAAGCCAACAGCATGGAAATGTCTTGTATTTTGGTCATTACTGATCAAAAATATTGAGAGTGTCATAGTTTTAAGAAATACTCAAAAACTCAAAAATAGACTCTGCCTCCAACCAGGATAGAGAAATAAAACCTAGGCCTGGCCTCCTCCATCCAAAAAACTAGACAAAATATATGAAGTTGTTTTCAGATATTGGACAAAAACCATCACAGGACTCTGATCCCTGGGAGAAAAGAAACAAATAAGGTGAGCTCTTGGATGGGAAAAACAGGTGAAAACTGAACAGAGCCTGTCAGCATTTGTGAGTTGAGGAGATCAGAGTTTGGGGCACTGAAATGGCTTGAAGTTGTAAAGCGGGATTCTGGAATAAAACAAACTATGCAGAAAAAGAGCTCCATAAATCTATACAGGGGTCTGCTTAAGTCTTTGTTGAATAGTAGGCTGCCCACACATCAAAGGACATTCCACAGACCTTGGCAAAGAATGATGGCAGGATTGTGAGTGGAACAATTTCTAGAACTCATAGAGAGTGGAGACATCCTAAACTTGTTCATTCTCCATTTTGAACTTGTACCAGTCAGAGTGGAGAGTCATTGGTAATCACTTGAAGCGGTCCATGGAGAGTCTGGAGAGACCATACATTAGAGATAGGGCTGAACTAGTTCTAGAATGCCAGTATTGAAAACTCACTTGAGCAAAGCTTAGAAAGAAACCTCAAGGAAATCAGATTACTCCACAAGTAATTAAACTGCCTAACAACATCAAGACACTCAAATATATAACATCATGATGCCCAGCATCTGATCAGGAACTTATAGACATGCCAAGAAGCGCACATTTCTCCATAATCGGGAGAAAAATCAGTTAATAGAAACAAGCCTGTGAATAGCAAAGATGTGATAGCAAACTAGGTACAAGTATTTGAAGGAAAACAAGAATAGTCTTGTTTTTGAAAACTACAAAAAGAGCCAAATGGAATTTACCGATAAAATATGTGACATATACTTGCATAATTTCACTAGATGGGATTAACAGTATATTAGAAGTGGGAGAAGTAAAGAACAGGGAGCTCTAATCTAACCAAGCCAAGACAGACTTCTTTTAACTAAGAAAATAAAATAAAAAGAGCCTCAGTAATCTATGGTACAATATCAAATGGTTTAACATCATGTCCTTGAAGTGTCATAAAAAGAAGGGAGGAAAACAAAACTTTTTGAAGTGACTGCATATTTTCAAAATTTTATTAAAACTACAAATCCCTAGGTCTAAGAAGCTCCACACATTTCAAGAGTATAAATATACACCCATATATACATACACACACATACACACTTACTACCTCCACTACCATCACCTCAGAACTCATAATCAAATTGCTAAAAATCCACAATAAAGATAAAAACTTTAACTCAGAGTTAAGAGACACAATAGCTACAAAGGAACAAAGATAAGAATTAGTGCTGAATTCTTGTAAGAAACTACAAAAGCCAGAAGATAGTCAAACAATATCTTTAAATGATGAAAGGAAGTGTAAGCCTAGATGAAGGTGAAATAATTTTTTTCACAAAAACAAAAGCCAAGAGAATTCACCAGCAGGTGAACTGCTCTAAAAGAATTGTTAAAGGAAATTCTTCAGGCAAAAATGAAAATTATACCAGATGGAAACTTGGATCTAAACAAAGAAATGAAGTGTCAGAAATGGTAAGTATGTGTTTCAATAAAATTTTTTTTAACTTTTAAATTTCTTTAAAAGATGGTTGTTTAAAGTGAAAATAATTAAAAATTTATTGTGGAGTTTATTTTTAAAATAGAAATAATGATATGGTAATAATAGCATGAATGGTAGTAGGGCCAAAGTGGAATGTATTATTATGAGAGTCTTATTTTATATAACTAAAATAAAATAATGTAATTTTATATATACTGCAATAAGTTAAAAATGCATATCATAAACTTTAGAGCATTAGTTCTTAATATGTGATGCAGTAATTCACGGGCTTGTCTCAAATCTCCTGAGGTGAAAATACTGAGATATAATTTGCCATTTTCACTCTCATTCTCTCACAGATTTACAATAGAATTTTCCAAAAGTGACATAATATATCACAACAGACTGGGTACAGAATCCAGCTACTAAGATAAAAATCAAAGGGCTTTGCCAAAAACAATGTCACTCTTCTCACTATTTTTTTTTGTTTCAGAAAACAGAGTTTTAAGTAAAAATGTTATTTATATTACTATACAATGGGTTTTATGGTTCTTTTTTAAATTAATATTTTAATTTTAGTATAATAAACATCAAGAGATGTAATTTATTTAAATGAAAGATCTTCTAAGCCTTTTGAGTATAAAGGAGTTCTAAGACAAAAAAGTCTTAGACTTTGAGCAAACTCATATAAATAAATAAATAAAACAGAATTTAAGCTAATAAGCTAATAGTGGAGAGGGAGAAATGGAAGACTTACAAAAGACATATGATTAATCCAATAGAAGAGACAAAAATAAGACAGAGAAAACAAACAGCAAGATGATAGACACAAACACAATCATACTGATAATGACATTTACAATAAATGGCTTAACAATCAAATTAAAAGGTACAGTTTGTTAAACTTAATTTCAAAAAGCAATATTGAGCTATATGGTGTACAGAGAGAAATAAAATTTTAAGTAGAAAACACAGACAAGTTAAAAACAAAAGTATAAGAAAACATATGCTATGTGAATAAAAAGAATACTGAAGTGGCTATATTACTATCAAATGAAACAAATTTTAGAACAAAAAATATTATCAGAGAAAGAGAGGAACAGGATAAAGGGATTAAGCAAGGAGATAAAAGAAAATGATCTTAAATGTCTATGTAACCATTAACAGAATTTTAAACACAAAAAGTGAAACTAGCAGAAGTAAAATAAAAAAGAGAAAAGTCCAAAGTTACAGGAGGATGTTTCAACACCCATCTGTCAGTAATCAATAGAACAAATGGAAAAATAGTTAATACATAGGATATTTGAACACTACAATTAACTGAACCTAATAATATCCCACCCACAACATCAGATTACACAATATTTCTAACTGCACACACACAAAAAAACCACTCACCAAGGTAGACTGTATTCTGAAACATAAAACAAGTCTAAATAGACTTAAAATTCTAAAATCATGCAGACTATATTTTCTGAATATATCAGAATTAAATTACAAATCAGTAATTAAAAGATATTTGGAAAATCCTCAAATAGCAGGAAATTAAACAGCACACTTCTGGGCCAATGAAGGAATCACATGGGAAATTGGAAAATATTTTGAATTTAATTGAGAATGAAAAAACACAGTATTTCAAAATTGTGGAATGCAGCTAAAATGGTGTTGAGAGGCAAGTTTATACCTTTAAATGCTTCTTCTATTAGAAAATAAGAATCAGCTAAAATCAATAATCTACTCTTTCATCTTACTGGCTAGAAAACAAAGAAAGCAAAATAAATCTAAAATAGAAGAAAATAAATAATAAAGAGAGAAAAATCAATTAAAAGTAGAAAATGGGCAAATAAGGGAAAAAAGCAATGAAATCCTAATAGTAAACTTGATAAACTTCTTGCTAGGTTGGTCAAGAAATATCAGGAATAAAAAGGAAACTATTACCACAGACCCAGAAAACATTAGAAAGTTAATGAAGTAATATTACCAACAATGTTATGCCAAGAAATTTGACAACATAGATGAAACAAACGCATTTCTTTCAAGGGGCAAATAACCAACACTGTCTAAAGAAGAGACAGATAACCTGAAAAGCTTCATAGTAGTTAAATAATTGAATCTACAGGGGTTCTTTGATGAACTCTACCAAACTTTTAAGGAAGAAATAACACCTCAGTTTGGTGCTTCGCCTTTTCCAATGTTTAAATTATTCTGTAAATTCTAACTCAGTCAGTTACAAAGAGACTACTTGTGGCACATAATAAGATTATTAACTGTTATTATAAATATCTCAAGTATTTATAATTCAAGTATCTCTAAATATTTGCAAGTAAACTAAACAAAAATTTTTTTGAAAAATAAATGAAAACAGCTGTGGAAAAGTCCATCCCCTAAATTATGCCATTGTTTTTCATTATTATTATACTTTTAGTCATGACCAAAAAGCATTGTAAGAAATGAGACACGTGCTGCTAAGTCAAATATAGTGTTTATGTTCATTTAACGTGGGGTCAATAGTCATTTACATACTGGAAAAATGCTATAGTAGTCTCATAAGTATTAACATGATAAAAAGATCATCAATCACAAAGAGATTTTAAGTACTAGAAAACTTCACTTACAATCCAATAGGTACCTTCAAGTTAAATAAACATTTTATTAGAAAATTTAGGATCATGAACATTTTAGGTATAAAAATCTATACATCATTTTCTGCAGAAGACATGGCAAGTGGAGAGGGTTTCCACAACTTGTTCCACTACTTGCCTTACATAAGTGACAAGCATAGGCTTGAAATGATCACATACAACCCCTATTCCTTTGATCATATTTATTTAATACTCACAGCTTCAAACTGGAACAGAAATAAAACATTGCCCCAATATATTAATAAATACCAGAATTAGAAGGAATTTTATCCAACTTCAATGTTTAAGTAATTTATCTTTATGCATATACCTTATATTAAATAAGGATGCAGGGAAAAGTTGAATAATCTCTTTTTTTCCAAAGTAAGAAAGTTTGATAACTCTCTTCATTAATGGCAGAAGTATAAATTACTACCCATTAGGGAGCTATGTGGCAGTATCTAGCAAAGGTGAAATAGCACATTCCCTGTGATTCAGTATTTCAACATTGTGATATCTACCTACCTAGAGAAATTTCAGTATGGATACAGTCGGAACTGACAAGAATATGTTTCTAACATGTTTTAAAAGGAAACAGGCTGAAAAAGTCCATCGATAGGAGTCTGTATGCATAATTCATGAAAAATTCATACAAAAATTTTCAGTTAAAATGAATGACCTAGAGCATGTATAGCACACCACTATACAAAATTTAAAAATAACACTATATATTGGGTTTTGAATAAATTCATAAGGAGCAATAGTATAAAATATGCAGAGTAAACAGTAAGTAAACACTAAGTTCAGGTGGGAAGGAGTGGGGCAGGATTTCCAAGGATACGTAGGGGGCCTCTTCTGTGAGTGTAACGGTTTTGAGGTTGTTGTTTTAAATGAGGCACATGTACATGGATCTTGAACACTCTGCTGTGTAAAATATTTCACTTTAAGTCAGGAAAAAAGTAGAATTTTTTATCAGACACTCCAAAAACACTGTGCTTATTAATAAAACTATTAGCTTGCTTTTTTCACAATGACTAAAAAAGTAATGTTACCCTTTTAGAAAATGTTTATCTAGAACACCATAAGCATCTAGGGAAAAGAAAAAAAAAATTAAAAGGCCTGGTGGTGGGAAGGCGGCGGCGGGGGTTAGGGCGCGGGAGGTGCTGGTCTAAATTGTCAAAATAAAAGTGAGAGCTTCCCAGCCAGAGGTCAACAGAAATGGCCAGGGGCAGTGAGAATGCCTGCCTCAACGTGAATCTCAGGAACGAGGTCTGAACCTGCCTTCCCCTTGGCTGCACTTGGAAGGCCTGACTATTGAAACAGGAAGAACAAGGAACAGTGTTTGGAAACACAAACACCACAGTGGAAAAGCACAGCACTGCTAATAGATGTAAGAAATTTTACGTGTTTGCAGAAAATTCAGAGTTCGGATGCCCCTTTTCCTGGTATCGCATTTAGGGAGAACTTTTTAATCCTTCAAAAGCCTCAGAAACGTAAATTCCAAAGGCATGGGATGAAGGCCTCGACAGGCTTGTCTATGGGCTTTCATGGTTTTTATATGGGGTGGGGGGTGGGAATAGAGAAGTGAAGGTGGGGGTAGGGATTCCAGGGTTTCCACCACCTCCCCCGAATTCTGAGGTCAGACGTCGGAGCCTTGATGGGAAGGGGCCTCTGTAGGATCTTCCCAGCGAGGAGCCAGGGAGACCACTCACCTGTTGAGGGAGCGGGGCAGAGTGCGAGGAAGGGGCGGTGAGAGAAGAAGGTCTCGGACCCACCACCTACCGCCCGCCACAGGCTTGACCCGACTGGCCCAGCCCAGGCACCGCCTCGCTGTGATGTCAAAGCCCGGGGACCAGTCAATGGCCGCCCCTGTCGGTTCGCCGGGCGCCGATTGGCGGGTGGGTGAAAGGGCTGGCGACGGAAGCGGGAGCATCAGGTAACCAGGGACGCTGCCGTGCTTAGTAACCACCTCTCCCGGGAACACCGCTGAATCTAGGAGGTTACAGGGGTGAAGGACCACCCTATGGAGAGGCCGCGAAGATTCCTTCTCAAACTTCTCTCTGGCACTTAATTCGGAGCTTTTCTAGCTGCGCAAAGCTTGGTGACCCACTCCAAGTTGCAGGATGCTAACAAGACCCACATTTACTCTTGTCTTTTGTCTGGCAGATTTCCGTGATGAGATTATCTGGTGATCTTTCCCTCCTTCCTCACCCTAAAGGAAAGATTTGGACGTTTCCTCTCTCTTTAGCAAATATTTCTGTGAATACTATCTCTTACTATTTCGACCTGGTGCTGGGCCACAGGTCTTACATCATCCGTTCAACCTCTTCACAAACGCGTACTAGTTTACATGTTACCTGAGGAAACTCGAGCTTGGAGAAGCCCATTGACTTAGGCAAGCTAACCCAAACACTAAGTGGCGGAGCTAGTACTAACACTCAGATTTGTCAAACATCCACACTGGCTTCCAGGCAGCGGTCTAAATGAGTGAAGAGCAGAACTCCAGAGTTACTATCAATGCTAAAGAAAATAAAGCCCCCAGTTAATCACTCTTGGTGTGACTGGGAACTCCTGTGTGATAGTCCATGGAAGGATGATGCTGGGGTCTCGCTTCCAGGATGAGGCTGTCTGGCCATTCCCTAACGGGCCCTAGTGAGGTAACTAAAGGTTGAGAGCTTCATTCAGCTGTGCCAACGCAGAAACTCAGCTCTGTGTGTTTCCAGGTTTATTGGAGACTAATTCGGGCTAACTGAACTCCGGGAAAGCTGAAACAGGAGCTGCCAGGCCACTGCGGAGGGTTCACACGAAGCAACAAGGCACCTCTGACAAGGGAGAGAAACCCAGACCCTTTTCCACAAGTAGGAGAAATCATCAGAAGCTTGGCCACAGCACTGTACAGGACAGGCCTCAGGTTTTTCTCCCACACCCAGCACCACAGCACTGCCAGCCTTGTCTTTTTGTTTTCCTGTGTTCCTTACCAGCAACTCTTTCTATTTCTGACCAAAAATCATTTTACCCGGACTTACCTTTTTTTTTAAATGACTTTTTCTCATACATGGACTGTTATCTTTTGTATTAATCTTTAGAATTCTAGATGGACCTTGCTGGTGCCTGTAGGTCATGGACACAGTAAGTGCTACCAGCCAAAAGCTGGCCACAGTTCTAACAGAGAGTGAATTTCCTGCAAACTCCTTGAAGATGACCCACAATTGTTGTGCTTTTGCACACTGTGAAACACCCAATATCAAATTCATTCAATTTGTGATTTAAAAATAAACGGGTGAAATTACAGCAGAATTTAGTCTTTTCAATGATACATCGAGTCAGTGAAATTTTTTAATGTCCTGATTAAGATTTTAAGTTGAATTGATCAACTCTGGTTTCCACAGAAAGAATCGAATGATTTTTAAACATAATCTAGGTACCCTCTCCAAAAAGATATCCCGTGGTTATCAAGTCTTTGTCTGAATTAAGAAATTGTCTCACCCTTCAGCTTTCTTTTATAAGGGAAACCTGCTACAATGCATGTTTTCCTCTGTTTATAAAAGACTAAGGCAAACCTCCATGCATTTGTCTATTCAACCTCGCACTTTTCTCAGCAGCTCCATTAGTTCTGGAATATTTCTGTTAATCTCTGTATCCACAGTATGTGGCCTAGTAACCTGCCACAAAAGAGGTGCTCAATCAACATTTGTTAAAAGAAAGAATGAATGTGTGATGATTAGTGACAAGAGATCATCAAGAGTATGGAAGTGAAGAAGAAATAAAGCAGATTTTGCTTGTTCTATAATGTTGCCTAAGGAACTACTGCTTGAGGCTACCTTTACTCTCTTTCTCATCTGCCTATTTTCATCCCCTCTACCCTACATTCCCAAACCTCCACTCCAGTCTCCGCAGGACTTCCCATCACTCTTCATCAAGGGTGCTATCAGCCCTTCCCAGCTTCACTTCCTCATAGAAGCCAAGTTTGGCCCTATCCATCTTTGCCCCTTGACTCCCACCCTGCCCCTCCTGTTTCTATTCTCATGGCTGACTCATGCCCACAGACTTCTTCCTCCATGCCACCTCCCAGACTACAGGTTGTGCTACCAGTTTAGCATATGCTGTGCAAATCAGTGACATTAGGCGTAAGGCTTAATGTAACCAGCTTTGTACATCTCCCTAACTGGCAAAGGACTTCTCTCCTAAAACTTCCATTTTATCCCTAGATGCAGAAGACTCCTGGTGAGAGAAAATGTAGCCTCCGATTTTATGAAGCCTAGTCATCACCCATGGCTGTGTTTTTCACTCCATACCTCACTACCCGACAGCTCTTCTCTGACTCAGGTCCTCATCCTTAGAAAAAGATTTTCTCATTAATGCTCACTCACCCCGGTGTATCCTTCAACCTAGACACCTGAAATATATCCTTCACTCTCCAGCATCTTCTCTTCCTCCCAAGGAGACTCCCTTCTACCTTCCAACATATCTTAACCATCACTGTTACTGAATGAAGCCACCAGGCTTTCCTACTTCTTCAAGTAACAGACCTACAGTTCCCTTCCTTTCCCTGTCAAATCCCTCTGTAAGTGATCTATGCCAATGGCTTCTACATGAATTTTTCTCTAACCTCATGACTATACCTGTACCCAAGGGCCAAGGAGTCAAGTTACATGTCTAATCATTGGTTCCCCTGTCTGTATCACTGACCCAGTGCTCCAGCCTGATGTGACACATTCTGCACAGAACAGGCTGTCACCACCATCCTCTACTATGACCATCCCAGATTATAAGCTCCTTGGACTGGAGGCACATCTAATCTATCCACATGATGCCTCATAATGTTTAGCATGATCTCCTTATAGGAAGCAGGGAGACCGATGTTGAAAGCAAAACACTGAAGCCCTGTTGTCCCTCTGCTTCCCTGTTCCCAGCTGTGAAAAAAATAACAGGATAGAAACCTTTCATTCATGCATTTGTGCATTGTCAGTGCCTGCTACAATGTTCCAGGCACTGGGGAGAAGGAAACAAGTAACACACTGTTCTTGCCCTAAAGGGGTTACCAATCTAGGAAAGGTAGAAAAGTGGGTATACTCATGAGTGAGGTGAGCTACTGTGGGTACACGGTGAACATCGTTCAGGGCACAGTAACCACACCATGGAGCCAACTCTGCTTTGCTATAAGGAAACTGGAAATTTATGTGGAAGGACATTCCAGGTGGCTGCAGAAGCAAAAGCCCAAAGACAGGGCAGCTGGGAGGACAGACTGGCCCCCTTTGTCTGACCTAGCCATGCCCATCTTTGCCTCCCTTGGCAATGTGGTCCATGCCATTCTCCACACTTCCTATGCTCTTTCCCCTCCTTTCCACCTGCTCCAAGATGGCCCCCTCATCTTTCCAGAAGCTCTCTGACTACCCAATTCTCTCCTGCCTTATTTTCATCTATCAGTTGAAATAACTCATCATTCATTCTATCATCTATCATTCTATACTGAATGGCTTAAGTTTGACTTTAGGTTCTCGGGTGCAGTCTTGGCTTTCTAGCTTCATGGTACATTCCCTGATAGCAGAGAACATGTTTCAGTCTTCTCAGGAATGTTCTACTGCAACAACCACAGTGTGGAGCCTGCCCTCCTGCCAGAGTTCCCCTTTCCATGAATAAAACCAACAGAGCTCAAATAGAAACTTTGGAGTTCTCATTAATGCTCCTTTTCCCTCATTCATACTTCCAACCCATCACCAACTGTATCTCCAAAAAGATAATGTAGATATGTCTGTTTCTCTCACTCCACAATGTCATTATCCTAGTTGAAGTCATCACACCTCTTGCCTGAATTATAGGGATAACCCCCTGGCTGGGGTTCTAGTTTCTAATCTTGTTCCACTATAGCAGCCAAAGCGATCTTTTTGAAATATAAGATGATATCACAGCTTTGTATTGCATTTATCATAAAACACTCACTCCTGAATATGGCCAGTGTCCTGAATGACTGCCTCCTTCCTACTGTCCCACACCCAGTGAGTACCAACCCATACCCCCCGGCCTCAGACCATACCCCTCTCTTCCTCACTCACTGTGTGCAAGCCACACCGACCTTTCTTTTGGTTTTTCAATGCTCCATGCTGTTTTCCATCTCAGGGTCTTTGCATATGCTTTCCCCTCCACCTGGACCACCTTTCCTTTCAAATGTCTCTGCCTAAGAAGCAGTCACCCAGACTCAGTTAGGTCACCCTGCTGTACTCCCCCAGCTCCTTTCCTTTGTGATATTTATCACATTTTCTAGTCATTTATTTATTTGTATGATTTTTTCATTAATATCTGAGTTCCCTTTAGAATATACTTGGCAGGAAGGAAGGAACCAGGTCTCTCTTCCTCACCATTGAATACTCAGCAGTTTGTCTGGTAGCTGGCACTGAAAAGAATGTATCCATGCTTCTAACAACTTCAATGGGGGAAAACATCTCCCTCACAACCAAGCTCTCAGTTTTGCTGAAGGATGGAAAGTCAAACTTTTCCCAGTTCCAAACTGTGATGTGAATGGTGAGAAACCCACAGCACTTAACTGTCTGCTCCAATGATCACAGAACCCAGTTCTGACAGTAGCTCCAGATACCCTTATTCTTGCCCTGGCTACATGTGTGGTCTTCTACCATGTGCTGCAGCAAACATAAAGTGGGAGCAATGGCTTCAGTGGCAGAACAAGAAGATCTAGCAAACTGCTGCAAAAGAGAGAGGCTATCAGCATATACTCAAAAGCAAACAGTTGAGAGATATCCTGACTACACTATTATCCTGCTTATAAACATTTGCTGGTTCCTCAGA